CTATTCTGCAAAATAAACTGAAGGCAATTATGGAGATGAGTATATGAAACTTTTCCCTCTGTTTCAATTTTCAAGGTGTCACTGTCAGTTTAAAAGAATCAAATCTCTCATGAAAATACTGCTTTATCCCAAATAATACATAGGAATAGAGATCAATCAGACAGCAAACAGAAGGGGAAAATAAATTAAGAACATTTAAAAGATAAATTTAGCTAATATTTACATGCAGCATGTTTTAATGCAGTTGCCATAAGCAAAACGCTTCAAATAATTAACAATGGAGAAACTCGTAAAGAATGCTAATATAAATATTTACAGTGTTTTTTGTGGCATCCTATCTTCTGCTTGTTAGCTTAAAGTAATTTTTAGAGCTGAAAATCCTCAAATAATGTGTTCATGAGATACAATTAACAGTGACCAAGGAAGAATCTAATTAGCTGTTATTTGCTAGGTTCACATAACATTTAGTGAATTTGAAATAATTTTAAAAAGTCATTTAGCGGGTCAAGACCACATAGCTAAGAGAAGTGGTAGGCTATACCATCCCTAAAAATAGACTAAAGTTTAGTATATTTTCAAACAGTATTGATTGTCTCCATAAAAATGGAGAAGCTCTGACAAGTGAAAAAGAAACAGTTTACCAAAAAAACCTAGTATTCACATAGTCCTGAAACTGTAACAGAAAAATGTAAAAGTAGCTATGTTTGTAACTGATCTATTTGAAATTAACGAAATAAAAAGACTGTATATAAAACTTAATGTGAAAAGGGAATACGGAGACTCTCTATGGCTTTTGTCCTCTCTTTCCTCCCTTCTTAAAAATCCAAATGCCTTAAAAAGATTTTGGATTAAGATAAAAATGTGTATTATCTAAATGAAAAACAACTGATTAAAAAAAACTGGACTTGACTGCTTAGTTTCAAAAACTTTATGAAATACTCCTCATCAAAACCAGAATATCTTAACACTATTAAAGAGATTCACGAAAGAATAGGAAATGACATTTCGCAGATAGAGAGGTGGGGTATAGACATACATGTAATCTCTAAATAACTTAGGCAATATTAGAAAGGTGTAAAGAGAACAGTTTTTGGAGTTCCCCTGACTTAGATTAAAATTCTGGTTGTACAATTTGTTTAGCTTTGCAACCTACGCAAACGACTTCCTCTCACTGACTCTTAGTCCTACCTATAAAAATGAGGGTGTTGAGGACATCACCTATGACTTTATAATCCAACAGCTGGTAACTATGAGTCCCCCTTTACCCTTGAAATCAGCAACATATATGGCTACCTGATTAGCAGTATATTTTTAAAGATCAGAATCTAAATCAGTGAAACAGTTTTGGGTGGGTTTTTGGCGGGGGTGGGTTGGTTTGGTTTGGTTTCGTACTCTTTACACCTAACATGGGGCTTGAACTCACAACCCCTAGATCAAGAGCTGCATGCTCTACCGACAAAACCAGCTAAGTGCTCCCAACCTGGCACTTTAGAAGTAAAGGGCTGTGACCTCAGAGCCTTGCGAAATGTAAGAACATCTTAGAGCAAAATGCAGTTTTATTTTTTCTGGTCCTGTAGGTGATTATTCTCTTGGCGTCACAGACTCCTTGGGAGGAACTGATGAAAACCACACACATACTATACTTTGTGTTAAAAACTGCGTACGTCCACAAACACATTTTCAAAACCTTTCTGGGGATTCACAAACCACCTAAGTATCCTAGCTAGACTCTTTTTCCAAAGATTTTAACAGTTGGGAAAATGTCAATATTGCCTGCATTAAGAAGTCTGAACGTACTCCAAAAGGCTGAAAAAACAAATGTGGTTGGTAAACAACTTCAGAAGACTCCCCTAAATAGTGAGCTTTCTGAATTATACTTTGGATGTGTTAGTTTCTGACTTATAGGGGCACCTGGGTGGCTCAGCTGGTTAAGCATCTTGTTCTTATCTCAGGTCATAATCCCAGGGTTGTGGGATCGAGCCGCGTGTGGGGTACCATGCTGAGCATTGAGGCTGCCTGGGATTCTCTCTCTTTCCCTCTTCCTTCGACCCCCCCCAATCCTGCATGCACGCTCGCTCTTTCTCTCTAAAATAAAATAAATAAATAAATAATTTTTTTTAAAAAGGCACATTATAAAAACAAATTTTGGCTTATATTCCACTTGGCTTTTTGAAATACGTTATCCAAAAGATTTTCTTTCAATGTAAGAAAAGTAAATGAATCCCTTTATCTAATGGTATCACCTACAGGCATTCACAGCAGGATAATTCTATCTCTGACATAAAGCAGACATTTTAGGAATCTAAATACATCTTGGATTAACTCTAGCATTCTTTTTTCTTTTTTTTAAAAACTGTACAAAAATTTTATTTTTGTTATTTAAAAAATCTCCAACTGTCAGCTCTGCCACTGCACTTCCTGGTCACGTCTTCCACAACACGGCACTGATCTAAGCCGAGAAACATGTTCAGAACACATTCGAGCCTAATGCACTGTCATAGAAGCACAAGATAAAAGCTAAGAATTCAATTAAATACCTATAATTACTTCATTTTTTTCTGCTTCTTTGTGTTTTAGAGTACATTTCTACTAGTGCACATTTAGTATATTTCTGCTTCTACTACGGGAATTCAAATTTTTTCTAAGGTTGTGATTATTCTGAAAGGCTAAAATAGTATTTCCCCACATAGTAGTATGAGCTGCAATAAGTTTGTGCAGTAAATTGGGAAGTTTGATCTTGGCAATTATTTCACTAGTTGACTGCCAGCGTCTCTTTAATCTAACACTGCACATGTTTCTAACAGATTAAAACACCACAGATACTCCTCTGAGTCTACTATCCTTCTGCTCCAAACATACAGTGGCTCCTCACTATCAAATGTAAAGTTCAAAAGGCCTCTCCAATCTCTCCAAAAATACTTCCTGCATCCTAAATTCTTATTTCTCGCCATAGCAGTTCTCTCCCTGCTCCAGACAAAATGAGGTCCTTTCTTTAAAGATAACTCCTACTTTGTTCCTGCCTCTCCCATCCACTTGAGCTATCATCCTCCTCATTTCATTTCTGTCACTCTGATAATTCTTCCCATCTCTTTTCTCTGAAACTTGGACCTTCCCAGCAATCACTGTGCAATTCACAAGGCAATTAATCACATCCTGTCTTTTATTATTTCTTTCTAACTTGTGTGTTTATCCCTCCATGGCAAGATGCACTGATGGTAGGGATGGGACCATGCCTGATGCTCTTCTACAGGATCTCGTCCCTACGTCAATTCACAACATGTGGCAGCCTGTCTGTGTTTGATCTGCTGAGGTTACCAGAAAGCTTGTATAGAAAGGTAGTAAGTATGCATCTCCTTAACTAACAGAATCATGTAATAATCCTATCCAAGGCCAGCATTTTTATCCTGAGCATTCCTCTTCTGTTTCATGACTCTGTTGTTTATTTATTCACTGTTTAGAGAGCTACTGTGTATAATATTTTTATATTTTTTAAAAAGTTTAAAACATTAACCTAAACATTAATTTAGGGGTGTGAAATAATTTTTAAAATTGTATCTGGAGTAAGAGCAGTCAACTTTCTTAAGGGACCTTGAAGAGATTTGGCAAGGCATAATGAGAATTTTTCAGGATTACACACCAGGATTATATTTCCAAGCACATGAGGAAACATGGGCACTTAAATGGTAATGGTTAGTAATGATCAATAACTACCATCTGAGGGCTTTTTTCTTCTAACCATGATTCTGGATGCTGTGTGGAACCTAGGATCAGTCTCCCTTCACTCCACACCAGCCAACTACCATGGGCTTTTCAATTGTGTCAACAATTTGTCCTTGTTTGCCTGATTTAGGGTTCTCTCTAAATGTAACACATGACTTATCTTTACTTTTAAATGAATTTTCACAGCTTTAGGTACAAGTCTTAATACTTTGAGGGACCGGACACAAAAGAAAGACTCAGAACCACTGCTCGAGACTAAGACATAAAGCCTCCTATTAGCAATATACAGTATTACTTTTATTCTACTCACTGAAACGTATAAATTGCAAATTTTTTCTTTTTTTGCAAGCATACTTTTATTGCTGAGAATAAAGAAATGCTAGGATATTGCTGTGCAACTTGCAAAATGGCTCAACTGAGAGGATACCTCATTTCTACCAGTGGTTGATGTCTCTCTTAAGACCTGCCCCCAAGGAGCTGGAGATTTGGAGATTGAGTCTATTTCTTCTCAGTGAGTTTAATTACTAACTTTGGCTCCCTTCAATCTTTCAAACATGTATGTTAAAAATTAAGTTATTCATTTATAGATGTCCAAAACCTTCAAAACCCTATAAGGAAATACTTATTTGAATTACTGACCCTGAAATGTAGGGAAATTAAAAATTAAAAAAAGAAGGCACTGTTTTGTCTCCTGGTAGAAGTACTAAGAAAAAAAAAAAAGAGGTGCAGCTGATAGCTCACTGGTATTTCCAAGGAAGGTAAAGGGATAGAGTTTTGCTCTGAGGAAGCACAGCAGGTTACAACAAAAAATGGTTATCTCAGTTCAAGACAAAATACCTACAAGTGGCAACGTTAAGGTTAAGAAAGAAATTACCCTCAGGTATTCGACTGAGCACAGAGTGGGCACTGAAAGGTCTTTAATAGCCCATTTCTCTATCATTAAGTGCTAGTGATGGTAGCAGGCTGCTGAAGGAGAAAAGGAGATGTTCAAAAGCATGTTCTTCACCTCAAAATTAAGATTTAAGGGAGAAGCAGAAGGAAAGGCAGACGTACAGGGGGAAAGTAAGTACAGCCCAACAAAAAGGTACTTGATGCCCATTAAGTGACAACAAACTTAACTACAAAACAGAACTGTATCTCTACCGCCATTTCTAGACAGTTCCTTAAACTGACTCCTTAACATGAAACATACTAATAGCTATAGATTTCATTATGTGAATGTATTATAACTAGTATTCACATCATAAAATTATTTTAAGTGCTTAAGAAATAAAACTTACCCCATCACTTTCTCGATGTGGATTCAGCCTACTATAAACAGCTTCAATAACATTGCGCCTGAAATAAATTATGCATTAGTTTTATTAAATTACATACAATTACCAAGCTTCTGAGTATTTAAAATACTTTATCCTCAAAAATTAACTGTCATGCTAAATGTTTGCCAAGAACATAGTTTCTACATTTCACTTAGAATTTGATTCAGCACAAGCCATTTGTTCTCATTTATAAAGGAAAGAAGGGCCTTCACCTTTAAATCACATAATAAATTATTCCCTTCAAAAAAAAAATCCCTTTGGATGAAATTTTAAAGTTCTTCTCTACTATAAGAACCATCAACTCATCTCATCTTTTGATAATTGATATACTTCTTCTCTAAAATTACTTAATTACTAATTATAAAGGAACTCAAAATTAGTTCTTTTTGTTCTACTTACTTGCCAGCGAGACCTCCCCCAGGAGGCAAATTTGGGATATTTTCTGCAGACAAGATGCGCATGACATGGGCAAGATCAGGCATTCCTTCCTCACCAGACTTCTCCATAATTTCTGCAGGTTTTTAAAAAGAATTCCTCAATTAATGTGTTTACTCAAGATTCAGAGACAGGGGGACGCCTGGGTGGCTCAGTTGGTTAAGCAGCTGCCTTCGGCTCAGGTCATGATCCCAGAGTCCTGGGATCGAGTCCCACATCGGGATCCTTGTTCTGTGGGGAGCCTGCTTCTCCCTCTGCCTCTGCCTACCACTCTGTCTGCCTATGCTCGCTCGCTCTCTCTCTCTCTGACAAATAAATAAATAAAATCTTTAAAAAAAAAAAAAAGATTCAGAGACAGGGCAACTATTCGGTAGTTATCAATTTTATTTATTTATTTTTTAATTTAAGCTCAAGTTAGTTAATATATAGTGTATTATTAGTTTCTCTAGTATCAGTTTTAAAATGTAAAAAAAGCAAACATTACCTTACTATCACACAAGGAATAAAAGTAATATAAAAAGTTATCTGCAGGGGCGCCTGGGTGGCTCAGGTCATGATCCCAGGGTCGGGATGGAGCTCCGCATCAGGCTCTCTGCTCAGCAGGGAGCCTGCTTCCCAACCCCCTCCCCCCCACCCCACCCCACCTGCCTCTCTGCCTACTTGTGATCTCTGTCAAATTAAAAAAAAAATCTTAAAAAAAAAGTTATCTGCATACATAAAAGCAAAAACTGGAAGAAATGAAATGTTCAACAACACGGGAAGAGTTAAGAAATTTTTGGTATAGCCACTAAGTGAAATGGTTTGTCGTCACTAAAAGTGATCCTTGTGAACACAGGACAGCTACATGGAAAAACACTCTGACCTAATTTTATACAAGAATTAATACAAAAGTTGGGGCGCCTGGGTGGCTCAGTGGGTTGAGGCCTCTGCCTTCAGCTCGGGTCATGATCCCGGGGTCCTGGGATCGAGCCCCACATCGGGCTCTCTGCTCAGCGGGTAGCCTGCTTCCTCCTCTCTCTCTGCCTGCCTCTCTGCCTATTTGTGATCTCTGTCTGTTAAATAAATAAATAAAATCTTTAAAAAAAAAAAAAAAAAGAATAATACAAAAGTTAAAAAGTTATTAATACTGTAATTACCAAAAAAAGTGACAGATGAGTAATGACTATATGGAGGAGAAAAATCAGGAATTGTTTCATAAGGTTATTCATATTTAATTGAAAATTAGTTGATACATAGTATTAGTTCCAGGTATACAACACAGTGATTCAATAATCATACACACGACAAAATGTTCTTTACAGTTTAAGTGTAGTCACCATAAGATGTTACTACAGTATTACTGACTGTATTGCCGATCCTGGACTTTTCAGCCCTATGACCTCTTTGATAACTCAAGTTTGTACCTCCTATTTCTCCTCACCTAGTTCACCTATCCTTCCTTTGGCAACCATTGGTTTGTTCTCCTCACACCAATAAGTCTATTTCTGCTTTGTTTTTTAAATTCCACATGGAAGTGAAACACTGTCTTATTTCACTTTGATCCTGAAGTAGTTATGTTCCACAACAATTTAAAATTAAAAAGGTGGGGCATCTGGGTGGCTCAGTTCATTGAGCATCTGCCTTCAGCTCTGGTCATGATCTCAGAGTTCCAGGACTGAACCCCACATCAGGCTCCCTGCTTCTGCCTCTCCCTCTCCCTCACCCCCTCTGCTTGCTTTCTCTCTCTCATAAATAATATCGTTTAAAAAAAAAATTGGGCATCTGGGTGGCTCAGTCGTTGGGCGTCTGCCTTCAGCTCGGGTCATGATCCCAGGGTCCTGGGAATGAGCCCCGCATCTAGCTCCCTGATCAGCAGGAAGCCGGCTTCTCCCTCTCCCACTCTCCCTGCTTGTGTTCCCTCTCTCACTGTGTTTCTCTCTGTCAAATAAATAAAATCTTATAAAAAATAAATAAAAATTAAAATAAATAAATAAAATAAAAAAGGAAAATAATCACAGAACTCGCTAAGGCTTAGAACAAAACATTTACACACTCTATCTGTATTTACAATTTATGGAAAATACACCTTCAGAGCATGATTATTAAGACATAAACTCCACAAAAATCAGAGAATGCCAACTTAAGACAACATAAAAGCAGTGTCCTCAGCTGCCACTATGCCTCACGAGGCCCTCACCGTCACCATAACCTCCCTCACCACTCCCATTCGACTCTGCCCAACTCCCCTATCTCCAAAGGGTCTAACAGAAGCCTTCACCTACTTCTAGATCTTCACATGTGCTCTTCCTTTGACTTGAAACACTTTTTACGCATTCCAACCAACCCATGTTGTATATTCATCCTTCAGGTTTCAACTTCACACGTTGCTTTCTCAAATTCTTCTCCAACCCAAGCCTGAAGTTGTGTACTAGTGCTACATACATCTTTCCACTTTCCACTGCAGATGTTCACTGTATCACAGACTGCAAGCTTCTTGAGGCATGACTGTCATTTTTCAGCCTTATACTTGTATCTCTAGAGTACAGGATTTCTCAGCTTTGGCACTCATTCTGGACTAGTGACTTTTGGGGGCGGCAGGTGGAGGCTGTTCTGTGTACTCCAAAATACTAATAAGAAACATCCCTGGCCTCTATCAGGCTAGTGACACCCTCTCAGGACACCAAATATGTCTGCAGACATTGCTACAGCCAAAGAGAGAGAAAAGGAATGAGTGTGTATGTTATTGAAAGTGGAGAGAGGAGTCAAATGAGTTGTAAGGTAAACAAATGGGGAATCTAGGTAAAAGGTTCTACATTGTATATGGGAGCTCTCTATATTATTTCAACTCTTCTTCAAGCTTAAAATTACTGCAAAATAGAAAGTTAAAAAAACAAGTACAGTTGATTCTTCAATGACTCAGGTTTCAACTGTGTGAGTCCACTTATATGTGAGTTTTTTTTGTAAATATATTTTCTCTTCATGATTTTCTTAATAACATTTACTTTTCTCTGGCTTTCTTTCTTTTTAAAAAATTTTATTTATTCATTTGAGAGAGATAGAGCACAAGCGGGGTGGGGGGGGCAGAGGGAGAAGCAGCAGCAGACTCCCTGCTGATCAGGAAGCCCAACATGGGGCAACATGGGTCTCAACATGGGGCAACACAGGGCTTGATCCTGGGACTCTGGGATCATGACCCGAGCCAAAGGCAGATTGCTCAACCAACTGAGCCACCCAGGCGCCCCTACTGTCTGGCTTACTTTATTGTAAAAATACAGCACATCATGGGGCGCTTGGGTGGCTCAGTGGGTTAAGCCTCTGCCTTCGGCTCAGGTCATGATCTCAGGGTCCTGGGATTGAGCCCTGCATGGGGCTCTCTGCTTGGCAGGGAGCCTGTTTCCCCTTCTCTATCTGCCTGCCTCTCTGCCTACTTGTGATCTCTCTGTCAAATAAATAAATAAAATCTTAAAAAAAAAAAATACAGCACATCATATATAGAACATACAAAATATGTGTTAATTGACTGTTTAAGACTTTCAGTCAACAGTAGACTATTGTAATTAAGTTCGGGGGGATTGAAAACGTATATACATTTCCAACTGAGGGGCGAGTGGGAGAGGAAGGCAGAAATAGTGGGTGTGTTTGCACCCCCATCCCTGATGCTGGTCAAGGGTCAATGTAAAACCAATACTCTTTCATGACATCAAATGCTGACTCTTATCAGTAAGATAAGAACATATGGTATAATGAATTCCTATGATTAACTTGGGAGGAATTAAGTGTTAGTGGAATTACAGCACTCGATGTTCATCATAAGCCCCAAGGCAAATTTCACTGGACTCTTCACTCCTAAAAGCATAATCAGCAAAAGGAGAAATAAAATGGCAAGCTTTAACAGACTATTTTCAGATGTTTCTCTTTGATGGTATAATAGACATATTTGTCTTCTCCCTGACAAAAAATTCCCACACATTGGTCCAAGATGTGATAGTAAATCTCAGGCAGACAGATGCTTATTTTTTAAAGCCTTGTGTTGAAATACTTTTTCCTAACCCTAAAAGAACTATTTGATAAACAAGGGAGAATACTTTTCCTTTCCTTCTAAAACGGGAGGGGGAGGGGGGAGATCACCTTTCTTACTTACCTTCAACCCGTGATTCCAAGTGCTTATCCAGCTCTGAATCTTTTCTCACTGCTTCATCTGAGACCTTGGGAGCATTTGAAAAGCAAACTAGTACAATACTCATGTTATCTCGACTTCCCTGTATTTTAAAGAAAAAAGAAAGAAAGAATTGTATTTCCATAGTCCAGCAACTTTCTACTATTTAATTCAAAACAGTTAATTACATTAAGCAATTATAGTTTATTTAAATGACCAGAAGGTACACACTCAACACAATCATTTCCATTCCAAAGAACTATCTGAAGTATTCCCTGAAGAAATAAGATCTCTAGATAAGGACAGATCTATAATTACTTTATGACTTTTAATTCTGTGAACCTATTCTTACCCACCAGTACTCCACAACCTAAGAAATGAAGGTATCTTCATATGTACTACATCTTCTAAACTCTGTTTCCCACTCAAACTGCATATTCCCAGAGTGGCTTCTGCCCAGAAACATGCTCCCAAACAAGTGTGCACATTTTCACCTAGCTAATTAATCTGCACCAGAGCAATGCTAACAAAATTCTATTGACTTTGACATAGCTGAAAATTACTGATCATTAGGATACCCAAAACACTATACTGAACAATTACAAGCAGAGAAGAAAACAGACTGTAAACTGTTCTGAGGATAAAGCAGCAAACAATGGAAGGTAACTGGATGGCTGAGATACTGTAGTCAGATATAATAACTTTCAGAGAACAGACACTAGATTTTGTTTTTGTTTTTTAAAGATTTTCTTTTTTCATCTATATATCTGATACAGAGAGATACAGAGGGAGAGCATGAGCAGGGAGAGAGGCAGAGGAAAAGGGAAAAGTAGACTACCCGCTGAGCTGGGGAGCCCAACGTGGGGCTCAGGGCTCGATCCCAGGATCATGATCTGAGCCAAAGGCAGACGCTTAACCAACAGAGCCACCGAGGCACCCCAAGAAAGAAGTCACAAATCGTATCAGTCTGCAGAGGGGAACCAAAACTGCTAACTTAGGGACAAATTTTACTGTTGCCCTGGTAATCATACTACCATAGACAAATCATCTATATTGTAAAAAGTAGCATTATTACCATGAGATTATGAGAAATAAATTCTAAAATTTCTTGTACCTTTTCCTGTAGGTATACATATTACTTTAACTGAGTTTCTTAGAACAGTAACTTACAACACTGATTTTTTCAACCCAACCCCCCTAAAAATACTAAGTCAATGGAGGTGGTAGGCAACTTTGATGGTGCAGTTTGCCAACCCAAGTGAAAAAAGCCAAGATCATACCCATTTCTAGTCTTTTCAATCATTATGGCCAGAATCTAGGCAGGCATGGTCTGGTTCAGACTTGCCACCTTTTTGGAACCCACATGGACGCAAAGGCCTTGAAAAACTCTTGCCACCACCTCCTAAAATTCAATGTAGCAAAGCTTGAAGACAGTGGAGGTCAGGCCTTAAGAAGGCTTCAAAAAGAATAACTCTTTCCAGAGAGTGGGAAAAAATATCACGAGTATATAAAACCAGATTCTCCATAACTGAAAAAAAAAAAAAAAATCAGGATTTCCAAAAAAATCAGGACTGGCCCAAACTAATTTTATTCTTTAATGAAATCCACCAAGACTTTCACAATGACTTCATATTGGAAAATATGCACTGGATGTATGAATACATACAGATATCCACACAAACACTATGGTTCCAAATAGCATCTCTGCCCCCCCAAAAAGGTCAATACATTTTACAGGAATCATGATTGACCATGTAAGTTCAGATCAGGCAAAAGCTTTATACCATAGATATTAAAATTACACACACACACACACACAATTTCCATTAGGTTCTTATGTTATAAAAGTTATATCTTATCAATTGGGAAATTAACTGAAATACAGTTTCAGGAAGTTTAAATATCAAAAGATAAAGTAAATAATTTACATTTACACCTCAGCTATGTGTGATTCCAATGATGTTTCTTCTATTTCTACATAAAGACAATTTTCAGGGGTGCCTGCGTGGCCAGACAGCTGAGCAACTGACTCGGGTTCAGCTCAAACCCAACCACTGCTCCCAAGCTCTGCACTCAGCCCAGCGCCTCCTTAAGATTCTCTGTCCTTCTCCCTCTGCCCCTCCGCCACCATCTCTCACTCGAAAATAAATCAATCTTTAAAAAAAAAAACAAAACAAAACCCAGGGTGCTACAGTGTACCCAAAGAAATATTAAAAACGAGGGAAAACAGATTGGTATTCCATGTCTACAGACACCCTGCAAACCAGTGTGTAGTAGTTCACAGTGTTAACATCTGATAACACTATATTCCTCTCAATGACATCCTATCTTTCCAAAGCCAGGGTTTTGAGAGTTGCTATGATAAAAAGCAAGTCCCAGGGGCGCCTGGGTGGCTCAGTGGGTTAAAGCCTCTGCCTTCAGCTAGGGTCATGATCCCAGGGTCCTGGGACTGAGCCCCACATTGGGCTTTCTGCTCAGCGGGGAGCCTGCTTCTCCTTCTCTCTCTCTGCCTGCTTCTCTGCCTACTCGTGATCTCTGTCAAATAAATAAAATCTTAAAAAAAAAAAAAAAAGCAAGTCCCATAAAAAAATCAACGTAATACAGGAAATGAGGGTGGCGTGCCCAACGATTCCAAGATTTGAGAAGCTGTGCAGTAACCAACACAGTACCCATATCTCATTAGTATGTAGTCCTTTTCTTATTTTTTTAAATTTGTTTATTTATTTTAGAGAGAAAGAAAGAGAAGGTGAGGGGGAGTGGTACGGGGTGGCAAGGAGTAGAGAAGGGGAAGAGCGAGGAGGAGAAAGAGAATCTCAAGGAGACTCCCCACTGAGTGCAAAGCCCCATGCTGTCTCCCTCCCACTCCCACGACAGATCCCACCACTGTGAGATCATGACCTGAACCGAAACCAAGAGTCAGACACTCAACCAAGTGAGCCACCCAGGGGTGTCCCTGTAACCACAGTTTCTTAAAGAATGAAATAAAAGATTTTTTCAATGTATATGTATTATTTTGTTAAGACATATATAGACTCCTTAAGTTTGGCTCTAACTATATAATATTTGTATCGGCTAAGTATTAATATGGCTAAGTAGAATTGCAAAAAAAATTGAGATAGTTGGGTACCATGGGACCAAGAAAGCTTGAGAATTACTACACTATAGACTATACTTTTACATTCAGTCCTTCCTTTTCAAAATACCCAACCACACTCCACTCTAATACTATCTGTGTCTACTTTTGCATCATTCAGAATTATGTTTTCTGAAAACTATAATGGAAAAACTCCTGAGTTTAGAGCTAAGCAATTTTGGGGGGCATATGGGTACATTTTCCATGCTGTATTACTAATCTGGAATGGTGCTGCCTTTGGAAAATAAGCCAAAAAGACACAAAGGCCCTGAAAATCTTCTGCCACCACCTCCTAAAACTCAACGTAGCAAAGATTGAAGACAGTGGAGGTCTTGACTCTTGGTTTCAGCTCAGGTCGTGAGCTAAAATTTCCCCTCAATTTTATCCAACTATCAGGTACTATCTTATGTTTTAAAATAAATAAGCTTCTGGGCGCCTGGGTGGATCAGTGGGTTAAGCCTCTGCCTTCAGCTCAGGTCATGATCCCAGGGTCCTGGGATCGAGTTCCGCATCGGGCTCTCTGCTCAGCCAGGAGCCTGCTTCCCTCTCTCCCTCTCTCTCTGCCTGCCTCTGCCTACTTGTGATCTCTCTGTGTCAAAGAAATAAATAAAATCTTAAAAAAAAAAAAATTCAATATTCTTAAAAAAAAAAAAAGAATACATCTTTTAAAAAAATATGACTTAACAGCTATCTTTTAATGTCAAAACTTTATTTCCTTACTTGCAAGTTGGAAACGGATTTTTATTTCATTCATCTCAGGTCACTAGGAGGACAAATGAGTGTTATTTATAAGTTATGAAAGGCTATGCAAACAGCAGTTACGTGGCTTATGCAACCTGAAATTAGCGTAAATACCATGAATGCTACTACTAGCATTGGCGATGAAATGGGAAAACTGCTTTCTTAGGGGCTATTTTCTCCTAGAGTTAAGTATCTCAAGAGAGTAACGCCTCACTAGAGTCATCCAACACTTACTGCTTCATATTGCTAAGCAGCAATCCTGAAAAAGATTATCATTAGCCATAATAACGCTACCTTTTATAGTTGTGAAAATTAAATGTATTAAGACATGTGTGAACTGCTTAGAACAGCATTTGGCTGTACATAGAAAGCAGCAATTTACTGATGCTATTGTGATTATGACGATTATCACAATCTCCCCAGATTTCATGAGTTAACATATAAAACCTCTTATAAACTATCAGGGCATGACAAGTGTTAGAAAATATTGACACATCATTTAAATCTATTATCAGGGAAACTTCTACTGAAAAATCGGATCTACTCTCTCTCAGTTTGAAGTCGCTAGCACCTCCTGAGCAGTCGCCAAGCACTGAGCTAAAATGCTTTCCATGGATCTTAAAATTTTGTATTCAGTCTTGTAGACAAAGTTCAAAGCAATCATACCCTATTTTAATCATATTGTTTTGTAACAATGCTAACAGTCAGTTAGTTTTACACTACAAACAAGTGACAAATGATGGAGTTAGAAAAACAGAAATGGGTAAGAAGTTTAATATTTAATTCCGAAAGTAACACAGAAAGATTCAAAATATTCATAGGGCTGTTCTGTTTCAACACAAAAGTTAACTAAGCTTCTCAAAATTGACTTCAATTTGGGGCGCCTGAGTGGCTCCATCGGTTAAGCGTCCAACTCCTGATTTCAGCTCAAGTCCTGATCTCAGGTGGTGAGAGGGAGCCCTCCCCCTCTCCCCCACCCCGTGCTCAGCAGGGAATCTGCTTGAGTCTCCTCCTGTCCCTCTGCCCCCACACACTCCAGCAAACCTCTCACTCTCTCTAATTAAACAGTAACAACTGACTTCAATTTGAATGCAGCTTCATTCAAAGAAACCATAGTGGCCAACTTCCACTAAAATTGAATGAATCATGTGTTCCTCCAACCTTTTGTCCCTATTACTGTCATTTATCATTTCCGAGATTCCAGGAATCCAGGATATTTAATACCACCAACAGGAATATTTAATCGCAGATTAAAGCTGTCAAGCAAAGATCCACCACCAGAATCAGTTCAACCCCATTCAGAAGGGTGGAGCCAAATTTCCTGAAAGCTAATAATATCCTTTCAATGGAAGGGAGAGGCAGTTTATCCACAATACAAACTTCTTTTTTTACTCCAAATTACAGACCTAATAGATTTTGGCTATTCCCTTCAGAACTACAGGACATTCTTTCAACAAAATTCCATACAACATGACAAATGATTTAGACTGATACCTACAGACATGGAGATCTCTCTACAACATACTGGTGAGGAAAAAAGCATACTGTAGAATAACAAGCATAATGATCTCCTTTTTATACAAATATACAAACTCACGGGCAGGCAAAAAAGAATAGAAAGATATATACCACACAATGAGCACAGCCTAATTCAAGTGAGTGGCAGATTTTTGAATGTTTCTTTATAACTTCTAAAATTACCTGGAATTGTTTTAATAGTTAAGTATATAGTTATTTTATAATCAGGGGAAATGCTGTCTTCATCTGCTAGGCAGGTGAAAAAACATCTGCTTGCTTTTGTCTCAAAAAAGCTGCAGGTCAGAATCTCTCCATGTAGAGTCCAAGGAGAGGACATTTTAGAGCCTATTCAATCACTGACAACCATCGATACTTTCATACTTAACCTATCCAGTTAAGTTAAAAAAAAAAACAAACCATATATAGTACACTTAAGGAACAAAACAACAACAGAAAAGCTACAGGAACCATCATTTAAAATCCTTCAGAAAAAACGCTGCCAAATGGAAACACCATTTCTCTATTTGAAGCTGTCTCTTCCCATTCTACAAAAAAGAAGTAGACACTTCACCAAAACCTGGGTATTTCCAGACTCAAGAGATCCTTCATTAGAAACTTTTTGGCCGTGTCTGTATCTCCAAAGCAACTTAAAACATGGTGGGGAGACAGAACAGTTCTAATCTAGACAGAATAAGTAAGTCAGAACCTTTATTTCATATAACCAAAGGTTAGTTTTGCCTCAGTTATCTTTTCGATCAGAGCCATATACTACTCACATATTCTAGGCACTGGTCAGTTAACTCAAATTTTGACTGACTGCTGTATAGGCCCTGTCAAAAACCCACCTGAAACTAAATATTTTAAAGACATTCAAGGGAATTGCTGAATATGTTAGTCTGCATTTGCTTTCCCTATCACTATATGAAGTTAAGATTCACAGAACGTTACAAAACTAAATTAAATGTTACAGATTCACAGGAATTCATCACAGCATTATGTCTTATACTACTCTTTGGTTTTTATTTAAGATTTTATTTATTTATTACTCTTTGGTTTTTAATCAGTAATGACAAAAAAACATCTATATGAAAAGAACTCTGGTATCTTCTACCAAAGTTAAGGTATGCTCTACCATGTCATGTATCATTTATACAGAGCCACATGTAAATCCATTTTTTATTTTATTGCTAGGAAAGAACTTCTTTTACTAAATGATAAGAAATACACAATTCATACTTCTACTTCAGTTTTCATCTTAGCTGCTAGGAGGCTCAGATCTAAATTACAAAACTTGACTTAGCCTAGGTCTCTGGTGTGTCTTCCAATATTATACATAGCTTTTGATCTTTTGTATGTTTACTTCAGAAGTGTACCATAAACACAGTTCATCAAACTGCTTCAAAATCTGGCATAAGACCTCTACTGGCAATACTGAGAATTTAAATCAAAAGGCACAATTCTACATAGATGTCTCAGCCACAGCAACAAGCCATAAAGTAGTACTTAAATGACAACAAATGCCAAAAGGTTATTAAACTTAATTTTCAACCTAGAAGGTTGAGGCAAACGAGGATACTTCCCCTCCCCCCACCTTGCAAAAATAATATGTAGTGAAGAAAATGATTCAAAAACATACAGGTTTTCCCTAATGAAAAGTTTTTAAAATTTAAGTTTGGTTCATTTTACTTACCGTGCCTTTTCAAAATTAACAGGGTATTTTAACTGTAACAAAAAGACTTACATACCTTATGTAAACAAGTGTCCACTACCCAATTGCACACATTTTCCAGGTCATCAGATACCTCAAGCCTAGATTTAACAAATTCACAGAGCTCCTCATTACTCATAACATCCCAGATCCCATCACAAGCCAAGATGATAAATTCATCCTCTTCTGCTCTTAAAATTTCATAAACCTCAGGCTCTGGAGAAACAAGTTGTTCTGTTGGGCCCTTGCCATCAACACATTTGTAATCATAGTCCCCCAAAGCACGAGACACTGCTAATGAACCATTAACACGCTGTATCATTACGCTGCCTCCTGCATTCTGGATTCGCTCCTTCTCCCTTGGATTGCAAGGTTTGTGATCCTGGGTGGAAAAGCAGACTTGTCCATTCCTATACAGAACAGCACGTGAATCACCACAGTTGATAAAGTAGATATGCTTGGGTGAGATCAGGACCCCCACTGCAGTTGAACCGCTTCTGTCCATTCCATTTCTGAGGTCTGAAAAGTTACGCATGTATTCATCGATTTTCAAAAAGCCAGTTCTGATGCCATTCTTGACATTTTCCACGGAGGGCTCAAGAGCGGATCCTGATTTTGCAGCTGCCCTGAAGTCTTCGTTATTAGTGATATGTTCTAATAAATGTGTTGAGCAGTAATTTGCTACTCGAGATCCAGCATGACCATCATAAACTGCAAAAAATGACCAGTCTTCCAAGCCGTGAGGAATGCCTACAACAGCTGTGTGTGCGTCTTCCATTTCCACTCTCCATCCTTGCATGCTGCTCAGGCCGTAACGTAAACCATTTCCAGCACCATGAGCATTATGTTTCTCAGTTTTGGGTTTGTCCAAAAATGCACCCATGTTTAATAAGGAATCTGAAAGAAAACAAAAAGCAGCCAGGGTTATATGCTGAAATCTGTCAGAGAATTATCTATAATATTCCATCTGTTCTCTAGTAACTCCTATCTCAAGTGTGTTTTTCAGTATTCTCTGAATTTACTGGAACAACAAAAAAGAAACCAAGAAAATTTCCCCATACATCCTTATTCTAGAACAGTGGTTTCTCAATCCTGCCACATTAGAATCATCGGGCCAATTAAATCAGAATCTCTAGGGGTGAGACCCAGATATCGGTATTTTTTTAAAAGCCTCTCTGGTGACTTAGATGTACAGTAAGTTGAAAACCACTGTTCCAGGAAAGGGAAACTAAGAAACACAACCTGATTTAAGTTTTCTTAAATACTCAACTTATTTTTTATTTTTTTAAAGCTTTTATTTACTTATTTATTTGTCAGAGAGAGAGAGGGAGAACACAAGCAGGCAGAGCAGCAGGCAGAGGCAGAGAGAGAAGCAGACTCCCCGCTGAGCAAGGGACTCGATGTGGGACTCGATCCCAGGACCCAGGGATCATGACCTGAGCTAAAGACAGCGGCTTAACCAACTGAGTCACCCAGACGTCCCTTAAATACTCAATTTATAAGAGAACTCTGGGGTTCAATATAGAAGACTGATCCATGAGAATATTCAGAATGGTGTGGCATCTTTTCTAACATACTGAAGTAATTTAGTATATTTCAGGAAGATTTCCAAAAGCATGGATTTGTAAGATATTTTCCCTCAATGATCCTGACTACCCCAAAACTTAATTTTTTTTTTTTTTTTTTAGATTTTATTTATCTATTTGACAGACAGAGATCACAAGCAGGCAGAGAGGCAGGCAGAGAGAGAGGCAGAAGCAGGCTCCCTGCTAAGCAGAGAGCCCGCTGCGGGGCTCGATCCCAGGACCCTGAGATCATGACCCAAGCTGAAGGCAGAGGCTTAACCCACTGATCTACCCAGGTGCCCCCAAAACTTAATTTAAACATCAAATCTCCATTCTCAAACATTTGATTTTAATCAAAGCTTTACCACATATCAAATTGAAAGCTATTATTTGGATTCTGTTAGAACAATGTAACCTCAGGGATGTGCTACAGAATATACTTAACACGCTGGTGGGTTTTATAATCCACAAAGTAGCATTAGGACAACTTTTACGCGGTGCTGACAGAGACTTACAATCCACACACAGGACTGTAACGTATGACGAGGCATCCCTCTCCCTCCTGACGTCACTGTTGTTTTAGAATAAAGCTTTCCCAATTTCAAATGACTTGGTCTAGAGTGCTGGTTCTCCAAATAAGCATGCAGATGCCCCGGTAGTTTCCCACCTACAATCCTGGACCTGATACTAGCTGTGTGACCTTGAGTAAGATTCTTAGTCACTTGTAGCTCAAATTCCTTCTGTGGATTAATTAGCCACTTTTACCTTCTCTCCTCTGTCAAATGGGGGTCACAACAATAGTACCCACACAGAGTTGCAATGAAGAATGAGTTGACGTAATGTGCTTAGCACAGTACTTGAAACAATAAAATCATAAAATGTTTGTTGTTACTTGCTCAAAATGTAGATTCCAAAAAAAAAGATTTTTTTCCCCCAGTATATCTTGGATGGGGGACCTTCAAAAGAGCATGCTGGCAACTGAAAAAAATCACATTTTGAGAGACACTAATCTAGATCAACGGACTTTCATTTGGATCTAGTTATCTTTGTGAGTTACCTTTTCCAGCTATGACCATTATTAACTATATATATATATATATATATATATATATACACACACATATATATATAGTAAAATCCTGATGAACCACCATGTATATATTTATAAATTATAGCAAATCTCTAATTTTTCATGAGTTATATATACTGTATATTACATATAAATATTAAAAGGAATTCTGAAAGTTTTCCAAAATACATAAAATTACTTTTCATTCAAATATAACACAAAATAGCAATGTTATAGAATACGTTTATTTTTTTAAAGATTTTATTTATTTATTTATTTATGAGAGAGAGAGAGAGAGAGAGAGAGCGCGAGCGCGAGAGAGAGCACGAGCACACAAGCAGGGAGAGCAGCAGGCAGAGGGAGAAGCAGACTCCCCGCCAAGCAGGGAGCCTGATGTAGGACTTGATCCCATGACCCTAGGATCATGACCTGAGCTGAATGCAGACACTTAACTGACTGAGGCACCCAGGGGCCCCAGGAGTCACACACTCTTCTGAGGGAGTTAGTCAGGGGCCCCTGTTGTTTTTTGTTATTGTTTTTTTAGTGATCTCTATCCCAAGTGTGGGACTTGAACCCACAACCCCAAGAACAAGAGCTGCATGCTCAACCAACTGAGCCAACCAGGCACCCCCTCAAACCACTTTTCATTTCAATCTGTCAATTAAAAAAAAAAAGTGTTGTCCTTTTCATCACCTTGATGCTCTAATTAAGGTGCCACTGTTTTACATTTCAACAAATAGGCTGAAAATCACCAGAATTTCTCATTTCAAAGATTAAAACAATAGTTCAGAAATTCCTATTTCCAAATTTGTTTTTAAGTGAAGAATAAATAGAGAAGGAAGAAAGGGTATTCAGTAGAACACTACAGGGAACATTAAGAATGAAAAGGAGGGGCGCCAAAGTGGCTCGGTGGGTTAAGCCGCTGCCTTCGGCTCAGGTCGTGATCTCAGGGTCGTGGGATCGAGTCCCACGTCGGGCTCTCTGCTCGGCGGGGAGCCTGCTTCCAACTCTATCTCTGCCTGCCTCTCTGTCTACTTGTGATCTCTCTGTGTCAAATAAATAAATAAAATTAAATTAAAAAAAAAAAAAAAAAGAATGAAAAGGAACCTGGAAGGGCAGCTTTGGAAAACCATCCAATGAGTACCCCCCACAACACACACTCTCCTGAATACTGTGGAAGTTACACCAAGAACAGCTGCTGCTTTCACTGCTAGGATTCCTACCTGCTGTCTGGTTCTTTCTAAAGTTGCTTGCTCAAGATTCAAAGTCCAGGAAATTAGTATCTGACTGAGCTCAGGTCACCAGCACACCTAACAGGCTTTATCAGGGACTACATTCTTTCGCAAATAGGTCATTTTTTAAAAAAGATTTTATTTTATTTATTTAAGTATGCTCCACAACCAGCGCAGAGCCGGAACATGTGGTCTGAACTCATGACCCTGAGATCAAGAGTCAGATGCTTGGGCGTCTGGGTGGCTCAGTGGGTTAAGCCTCTGCCTTCAGCTCAGGTCATGACCTCAGAGTTCTGGGATGGAACCCTGGGATCGCATAGGGCTCTGCTCAGCAGGGAGCCTGCTTCCCCTCTCTTTCTCTCTCTCTGCCTGTTTCTCTGCCTACTATGTAACCTCTGTCAAATAAACAAATAAAATCTTAAAAAAAAAAAAAAAGTCAGAAGCTTAACCCTGAGCCACCCAAGTGCACCTCAAGATTTTATTTTTAAATAATGTCTACACTCAATATGAGGTTCGAACTTAAAACCCTGAGATCAAGAATTGCATGCTGTGGGGCATCTGGATGGCTCAATCATTAAGCGGCTGCCTTTGGCTCAGGTCATGATCCCAGGGTCCTGGCATCGAGCCATGAGTTAGTTCCACATCAAGGCTCCCTGCTCGGTGGGAAGCCTGCTTGTTCTCCCTTTCCCACTCTCCCTACTTGTGTTCCACTCTCTCGCTGCGTGTGTCTTTCTCTCTCTCTCTCTCTCTCTCTGTTACATACATACATACATACATACATACATACATACATAAATATTGCATGCTGTAACTGAATGAGCCAGCCAGGGTGCCCCACAGATTGGCCATTTTTAAGTCCCAAACTGGTATTTTAAAATTGGGGTTGTCCCTTAATGATTTATTTTTATTAAGTTTTACTTATTTATTTTTAAGTAATCTCATACCCAATGTGGGGTTCAAACTCAACTCTAACATCAAAAGTCAAACACTCTTCTGAGCCAGCCAGGTGCCCCTGATTTAATTTTTTTAAACATGAAATATCACACATATGAGAGATTACATAACATATACATATAGCTAAAAAGTAAAAAAATGAACACCTATGTACCCATCATAAAATTTAAGAAGTATAACATTATCAAGACCACTGAAGCATCTTATTATCCTGAATTTTATCATCAGTATCCCTTGTAGTTTTTAACCACTTGAGGCACAGTTTTCTATTTTTTACATTATACATTGTACTCTAGTATTTTGGGAGTTTTTGGCTCACCACTATACTTCTGAGATTCATCCACATTGACGCAGAGCTGTAGTTCTCTATGCCACTATATGTTCATGTATAATTTTTATCCATCCCACTATCAATGAATATTTGAGTTGTTTTTCATTTTTTAATATTATAAAACAGTGAACCATCTTGTGAACCATCTTGATGCCCATGAAGTTTTCCTAAAAGACATGCCAAAATTCCCCAGTACTTAAAGTATGCAAATTTGACAGGTACTATACATGATCTTTTTTTCCAACAAAGATCACGTGACAGGGGCGCCTGGGTGGCTCAGTCAGTTAAGCGTCTGACTTCAGCTCAGGTCATGATCTCAGAGCCCTGTTGTGTTGAGCCCCATTAGGTTCGAGGCTCAGCAGGGCATCTGCTTGTTCTGCTCTGTCTCTGCCTCTCTCCCCACTCATGCTCATGTGCGCACACTCAAATAAATAAACTCTTTTGGAAAAAAAATCACAAAACAAACCATCACCTTTCCAAAGGTTTAGTTCCCAAATGCTCATTTGCTAACACTACTTTCTTTAAAATAGTTACCTTCTTGATAAGTAACCTTTATCTTGAATGGGAAGATTGTGTGTGTGTGTGTGTCTGTATTTTCTTTTATCTAAAAATATCTACATACTGCTGTGGAATTAGCAACTTCTATTTTAAGTTGTATTTTTCTTCAAAAGCAAAGAACTTTGCTATGAGATAATCAGCAAACTTCTATGCAATAAAATGTATTTCCTGGTCACTTCTCATATAGG